TGGATCAAGAGGCTAAATGTGATTAAAGGGCTAGCCAATGCATTGTGTTACATGCACCATGAATGCTCAACCCCTATAATTCACAGGGATATTAGTAGCAACAATGTTTTATTGGATTTAGAGTATGAGGCTCATGTCTCTGACTTTGGCACTGTTCGGATTTTGAAGCCTGACTCCTCCGTCCGGTCCTTAGTTGCTGGTACCTTTGGCTACATTGCTCCAGGTAATAAACTTTGTTGCTTAACATCATCTAGGGAAATTTGATTAGTGTTGTTCTTATTACTTTGCCTTCTTACTACAGAGCTGGCTTACACAATGGAAGTGAATGAAAAATGTGATGTTTATAGCTTTGGTGTTGTCACAATGGAAGTACTCATGGGAAGACATCCAAGTGATTTGATATCTGCTTTATTATCGCAATTGGCACCATTACCGTCTTCAACACCACCAAACTGGCGGCAAATGTTGATCAAAGATCTAATAGACCAAAGACTATTAGTTCCAACAGGTGAGGCAGCTGTGCATGTGGCCTCCACCGTGAGGCTAGCACTTGTATGCTTGCAAGCCAATCCTCAATATCGACCAACCATGCGACAAGTTTCTCAGGCCCTTACCAGTGAGTGGCCTCCATTGCCAAAGCCCTTCTCCATGATAACATTGGAAGACTTGGTGGGGCAAGATTTGTGGGGCTGAGGTGTTGTGTGTAAAAAAGCTAGGTTTTTCCATTTGCGTTTCTAGTTCGATGAACTATGTCTCTTGCTTGTGATTATTTTCTTAATCCTTTGTACTTTTTCTTTTCCCCTTTTTTTCTTTGGCTGAAACTTAATCCCTTGTACTTGTTCTTCTTCATCCCTGGGGAACGCATTCTATATGATGTTACCAATATTTGTCCAATCTTGACACAAGCTATCGATTCACATTAAAAAATAAATTAGGGCAATAAGCCCGCCAATTATCTACAGCTCAAGCTACTCATAATTGGTAGTCAACTTGGCTTTCTTAAGCCCAACAAATCCGAATGTTAGAAGTTTCAATGATGTTACTAACTAAAAAAGAGCATAAAAATACCAAAATTTTTCAAGATAGCCAATCAAATGGCTGTCTTGGAACTGTGATTGTAATGCAGGTTGTCATCCAACCCCAGCAATAATATGATGCTTCTAATTCTGAACTAGAGCAGGAAAATACAATATTTAATCCATTCCATTTCTTGAGGGAGAAGCAAAAAGCAAGGATGTGTTGGTTTCTCCAATACCAAATGAGATGGACAAGGCCACTCTTACCGGCATCTTTTTGAAGCAGTCAAAGGCAAGAAAGCGTCATCAAAAGTGGGATCTGGTTCATTGACATTAAGCGTTAAAGGTGCAACTCCCTACAATAATATACCGGGGAAAAAAATGGGAAAAAATGAAAACAAAAACTATTAACTTCATTAGAAGTAAAAATTCAGGAAGTCAGGCACCAAGACTTCTAAGAGATAAGTTCTCTGTTTCCTTTTACTTTTAGAAGCAGGCACATTAGCCACTCAACAGAAAGCAGGGCACAGACCACACTAAAGTCATGTTTAGTTTAATGGGATGGTTATTACGTTGATTTTTTATGAAAAGAAGGTGAAGTGAGCAAGAAAGTGGCAAACTAGGCTGGGAATCGCTATTCCATTTCCACGCATGTGCCTTTCCTTTTTTTCTTTTTCTTTTTTGCTAATTAAGTGGTAATAGGACAAGAATAACTAAAACTTGGGGAGAAGTGGTAATAGCTAATCCCACCTTATTAAGAGAAAAAAGATGCAAGCATGGAATCCATCCCTCATGGTGGTTAATCTCTTCCACTTTACCTTATTGCCATATTTTTATCAGAGAATATCCATTGAACCAAACATGACCTAAATTCCAGGTTTTCCGCTAAGTTCCACATAATTATTATGAGAAAGGAAGGCAGCTGATAAAATCAGGCACATAATCACGCACACCTTCACAACTTCACTCATGTTGAAAGTACTTGTTAGTATAGCTTTCTAGTGAGCTCTCGGAAAAGTCCGGTACCATTAATAACTATTTGAAAGTTTAGCAGAATATCAAAGAAGATAGTTCATCAAAATGTCTTACATGGTGTATGGCTAAAAC